CAGCTGGTGAGCTGGCAGAGAGCTCCGTCCGAGTCTGTTTCCTGCTGTGGACAGCGGTCCTGCCCGGTGCGCTTATTGTGAGGGTGAATCAATCCAGGTAGCCCAGTGCCAGGCAGAACACGTGCTCAGTAGTGTAGCTCTTGTGTCCCTTTTCTAAGCCCACCTGGATCACCCCAGAGCCGACCAGCTGCTTCCGTAACATCCACCTGCTGCCCAGGTTTCGAGCTTTCTAAGTATGCAAATGACCGGGGCCGTCCTCTGCTCAGAATGCCCTCTCCTTCAAACCCAGCTCCACCCTGCCGACGTTAGCCTGCTTTCACCACTTGTGGCACTCACGCGTAGACCCGTCCATGAGCCAGATCTTGTCCCTTTGTCTCTGCACTTGGGGACATCGCCTTCTGCGCCTCCGCTGTGCTGCCCAGCACCCTACTCACCTGTCTCCCCACTAGACTAGCTCCTGAAGGTATCACAGGGCCTTCACTCCGAACACCCATGACACACACAGTACCTGTCACCTCTCGGGTGATCCCTGGGATAACTGAATGACTTCTATCTCTGGGGCCCTAGAATACAGTGATCACCTGCCACTAGGCTGTTTGCTTTTTTTTTTTCCACTTCAGTTTGCGGGGGGAGGGGCACCATGATCAGAGCGTCTATTCTATATTTGGGTTTAAACTTTATACTTAGGACCGTTCCTGGGTTTGTATTCCATCATCAGAACATGCATGTGAAAGCATCTGGGGAGTGGCCTGGCAACAGGCTGGATTTCTGAAAAGTGACACTTTTGCCTGTGGCTTGTTTCCCTGATGAGGGAGGCAGTCCCTCACTCCGGGATGGCGTTTCTAGCCTGTGAGTGGCACCAGTGGGTGGGACCTGGCGCAGCTGGCTGCCCCGCCAACTGCTTGATTGCAGGATTTTATGGAGGCCTGAAAGATGACTGTCTCTCCTCCTCTCCCTCTCCCCAAAGCCATTTTTTCAAAAAGATTTTATTTAGTTATTTTGAGAGAGTGCGTGCGAGAGAAAATGCACCTGTGAGAGAGCGGGCGGAGGGGCACAGGGGAGAGAGTCTCCAGTGGACTCCCTGCTGAGTGCACAACTCTGTTGGGCTCCATCTCTTGACCTTGAGATCATGACCTGAGCCGAAATCAAGAGTTGGATGCTCAACCGAATAGCCGCCCAGGTGCCCCATGGTCATGGTCATTTTTAAGCTGTAAGAAGGGATTACTTAAATTTCACCAATGACTTTTTTTGACAAGAAAAACTAGGAAACCACATGCCTTTAAGGCAGCTGGCCTTCCTTTAACCTTGCGTCTCTTCTCCAGGCCCTCAGTCCTGCTGCGCCCACAACCGTACACCCCCCTGGACTGCTCAGGTTCTTTACCTTCCAAGTCCTCTCTCTGGACTCTGCCACAGTTCCTTAGGCAAATGGCTGTTTTGGGGTTGGCAGAGTGGCTTTGCTTTGCAAAGCAAAGAGATCTCTGATGAGTGTTAAAGGAGCAGGTTTCTCTGCGGCCTTGTGGTTGCAGCTTGGTCTTCTTGTGGACAGGTCTTCCTGTTGAAAGCTGCATCTCTAATTCTCCAGGACGCACGCGCGCACACAGACACACACACACGCACACGCGCACACACACACACCCGCCCAATCTCAGGAGCTCATTTTCTTTACAGTGTTCTGTCTTGTCATCCCAAGTAGGGAAATGCTTCTCTCCTTTTTACTCTAGGAAAGCTGCTGCAAGTTCTACCCCAGTAGGATCTGGTTTATGGGGGCGGGGTGGTGGTGGTTATCAGGACCCAGTCCCATAAATCTCAAAGGGGTCCATCTGGCCTGGCTGTGGGTGCACATTCCATGTGCCTGTCTCTTTGTTTCTCATCCAGCAATTGGAAGGAATGTGCTTATATATGCCAAAGCAGAAGAGTCCCAGACCTTAGGGGCTTATTAATGCTATTTTTGCATTTCTTTTCTGTGTGGGTTGAGAGAAGAAACTGAAGCTTGCCAGGTGGCACACAGGGGACTCTCTGAGCTGGTGGTGGAAAAAACCACAGACACTCCTGAGGTTTATTGGTTTGAAACCCTTCTGGAGCTTTGTTTGCCTTTTCATTTCTGCACGTGCATAGAAGCCTTTTCCAAGAAGAAATAGTTATACTCAGAACATACTCATTTATTGCAGAAGCATGGGTGAGAATCTGCTTCAATTTCAGAGCTAGTTGAATGAATGAGGTGCTGAGGAGGAAGAGGTTGGAGGGAAGGTGGGCTGGTTTTTCACATTCTTACCAAGACATAATAGTGTTCACCAGACCACTGATGATGATATCCCACAGGAAGGAGGACGTGGTCAAGTATATCTGGAATGTCACTGTGGAGCAGTGAATCTTCGACGACCGGTACACCAGTTGTCTCCTTGGCAGCAGAGGCCTGCTTTCCCTGGTTCAGGGTGCCACCATCTTGGCAACATGGCTGCTGACTGCTCAGTGTGCTCATCACTGTTGATGCTCATCACTGTTGACTCACTTCTCGCTGCTCTTTTCTCCACTGCACCACTTCTGTGTACTCTTAGCTTCTACCCACTCGTGGCTTCTGCCTACTCGTAGCTTTTGCTTACTCAGGGCTTCTCTCTTCCGCCTTTACTTGGAGTGTCTTTAGGTGACTTTCCATTCCCCAGCAAAGAAGATCTGATTGGCAAGTCAATTACTGCCACCTCTGTTAGGCATGTCATCAGATATGGTCGTGGCTTTCCTTAAAAGGGTGAGGCAGAACAAGTACCAGAGCAAGATGGATTCCTCTTTAGTGCAGTTGGGTTAGATGCCCCTCCTGTGTTGCTTCAGTAGCATCTGATGTCTTCTTCTTGGCCCAATAGGATAGTGATGATAATGAGAATGGTGATAAATTTTCATTGAATTCTGCTTTTGCACCAAGCACTTAGCATAGTGTTTGGATTTACTTGAATTATTTCCTTCATCCTCATGACGTGGGGGACCACTTCACTGATGTGGAAATTGAGACTTAGGCAGGTTTGGTGACTTGCCCAAGATCACAGAGGTAGTAGGTCATGGAACTGGGATTCTGGACGAGGTGTCTGTTAAGATGATCTCTTAAAGGCTGTGGACTGATATGCCAAGAGCTAGCTGTCGAAAAGCCAATTTGTGGAATGGCTGATTTGCTGAATGTATTTGTTGTTTTTCAACTTTTTAATGGTTGGTTGGTATTCCTTTTGTCTTTGGAGCGGCACTTTACATTATGGTCAGTGTGTTTCTGCCTCTGCTGCAGCACCCGCTGTAGACCTGGGGATGCTGATTGAGGGGCATTGGACCGTAGATTCAGGAACGTAGTGTGAATGTGAAGAACTCTTACAGGCCAGTTTTCATTAATATGATCTTACTGATAACAAAGAATATATGTGTAGGAAATCCCCCTATATTCTTGAGCCTGTAGTACTTGAATATATTTTTCTTGTGACCTGCCATCTTGGTCTCTGGCTTTCCCATTCTCACTCTTTCTCCTTCCCCCCATTTTCACGTCAACCCAAGCAGATGGGGAAAGGAAGAAGTACATGTGGCTAATTGTCCTGCGTCTCATCCATTTATCTTCATTCCAGTTAGACTCCGCTTCATAGCATGATATTTTCTGACATTATACACAAAGTCCAGTACCCTTCACGGGCTTGAGTTTCCAGGGCTCTGCCTGCAGGATCCTTGTAGAAGTACAAGCACATACTCATGGGCTGCAAATAGCAGGCTGTGTGTGTGTGCTTCCCACAGAAGCAGCGGTTCCGGGTACAGGGGAGAGTAGCCAAATGACATTTTGTCTGTTCGTTCTTCCTTCCTTCCTTCCTTCCTTCCTTCCTTCCTTCCTTCCTTCCTTCCTCTCTCTCTCTCTCTTTCTCTTTCTCTCTCTCTCTTTCTCTTTCTTTTTCTTTCTTTCTTTCTTTTTTTTCCCCCCAACAAGTTTGAGTTCTAAAAAGTTGATATTTAAGCCCAAGGACTGAACATTCACGTTTGCTTGGAGAATTGGAGCTTAAATCGTGTATGATTTGTCAGTGACGGAGACAAAGCCCCTAAGAGTTCCATCCAGAACTCATTTCATTAACGATGCTGAGGTGATAGCGAGTCAACAAGAAGGAAGACTGTTTACACTGGCTTAATTGCTCCGTTGACTGGAAGTATCAGCCAGCTGAGTATAGGGACCATATCAAGTCCAACACCTACCTCTGCTCCTTTTCTGCTCCCCATTGCACCCCCAGAACTTTTTTTCCAGCATAAAGTGTGAACTTCCAGTGTTGGTCATGTGTGTGTGTTATGAACCTGTGTATTTGCCCACGAGCAGCACTAAAGGCCTAGTTTATTCAGAGCTGTTGTCAGGTTGTGCAGGATTCCTCAGATGCAAATGCAGACCCAAATAGAACCCCCTTGTGCAATCAAAGGCAGTGTATTCTAAGGATTTTGCAGTGATTCGCAGAACTCCACATCAGGTCAGGGATTATATAAGGCCGACAGGATTTTCCCTCCCTGCCCTTGTTCTTTGTTTCTTCCTAAGTCCAGCTTTCTAGTTCTCACTGCCGGTTGACTTTCTCCACATGGTGAAAAACATAACTGCATGTGGCTGCAGGTTTGGGCCTTTTTATAACTTCAGGCACAAGAGGGAGATGCCTGTTCTGCATCCTGGTGTCCGAGGAAGGCGGTTCAGACTTCTCAGCTGTCACAAGGGCAGTGGGGTCACGTGAGAATTGGCAGCTCTGAGGGGCACATGGAGTGCATTTGGGGGAGCAGGAATCCTTAACAAGAAGGGGAAAGTGCTCTTCCCCAAAGAAGAGGGTGGTGCCTTCAGGTTCCCAGAAGACTAGGTGTCTGCTGGTGTTGTTCTTGTGCATTCCTGGGGATTTACCATGGGTCGGAACATCTATTTTAAATGACTTGGCAGACTTAACTGTAATCTTAGAGCTTGTATTTTTTTTTTTCTTCCGGCTTCTTGTCACCTACAAGCTTTAATGATTATTATTCTTCAGCAGGCATGTTCTAGCACCTCTTACTCATTTGTCACATTGAGCTTAACAAAATTAAAAAGTCCAGTGAGAAGACCCCATCTCTAAGACAACAGAGGCCGAGCTGTCGGCTCCCCGTCATTTTTGTAATCCGGAATCTCTGCTGCCAGGATTATGTTCAGCTCCTCTGTAATCGCTCTGTGTAGTCGGAAGCAGTAAGACTGCTTTGCAGGGGCTCTTGGGAAACATGGCACAGGTGAAGGAGTGCAGTCTCTTGCTCATGTCCATCTAGGTAAGTAATCCTAATCCCACAGAAAAGGAAAAACTTGGGGTGTGAAGATTTGATAACGACCTGGGTACATTCTGAATCCATTACAAATAAAGTTCTCAGTAGTCTTTTTCGTGCTTTGCAGAATATTATTTCCTCCCAGCACTCAGTATCTGTCTCTAGCCCTGCCTTTTGCCAGGATTTAGGATTAAAAGGTAGAATCTGCAGGCCAGCTAGGCCTGCCAATGATTGTTGTTTCCATGGAAACTGTTGGAGGCCCCTCAATTAAAGCTGCCCCTGTAGGCCGGACAGAGTAAAAGTATGAAAATAAGTTTGTCTGTGAAGCCAAATACTCATCCTCCAAATTAAACCCAGAGAAGACAGATGATCCAGGAATCTACTGACAATTGAGGTCATTTTTTGTTTTTTAAGATTCTGTTTATTTGTCAGAGAAAGAAAGCACAAGCGGGGTGGGGGGTGACAGGCAGAGGAAGAAGCAGGCTCCCCGCTGAGCAGGGAGCCTGATGCGGGACTCGATCCCAGGACCCTGGGATCCTGCCCTGAGCTGAAGGCAGACACTTAATCAACTGAGCCACCCAGGCACCCCAGAGATCATATTTTTTTTGTAGCCTTTTGGGGTGTAGCTCGGTGTTTGAGACCTAGGTGTGTGTGTTGGTTGGCTGACTTGCTTTGCCAGAGTTGCCCAGATAATTGTCTCTTTTATCTATGACCTCTTTGTGTCCAGCCATAGCTCATGGAAGAGTGTTTGGGAACAATCTGATCTTTGCTCAGACTTAAGTGTGAGTCACAAAAAGCCCATTAGAAATGGGTGAAATCATAGAATGGTCTTAAAGTTGGAAGGAACCTAAAGGTCATTAAGTCCCAATGTCCCATCGAATTTGGGAATCCCTCTTACGGCACAACCACAGAGGCTCACGGCTTTGGCTCTCCTGTGAGCCCTGCTGCTATCAGAAAGGCCTCTTTGTGATCCAGCCAACGTCTCTTCCTGTCCCTTCCACCCCTGCTGCCTCTTTTTGGTGCCAGGGAAATGGAGTCTCCTTCTCTCATAGTTAAGTTAACTCTTTAAGTTTTAAGAATGTTATTGTGTACCCTCCAGCGTCATCTCCCCCACCCCCCATATCCCTCCCCAGAGTATTCCTAATTCAGAGCTTGGAAATCTAAGAATCACAAGACTGGATCAAACCATTGGTCTAAGCAGTCTCATAAAGGGTGTGGTTGCGTTTGTGACGTCACCTCAGAAGTTAGTGAATACACCCTACATTCCTAACTGCTTTTCTCATCTCTCAACCCTTCATCTGTGACTTTATTAAAACCTTTGGCCTTTCCTGTGAGGTTTAAATTGTACATTTTAAGAGTTCTTTATTTCTCATATGTGTTCTATATATTAATATCCTATTATTGTTTTTAAGTTAGTGCCCCCACCCCCCTGCAAAAGAAACAAAAACCCAACAAACAAAAGATGTTTTTGTCCAAATGATCCTACAACCTTAAAATGAATTAAAACTTAAAACTCCTAAACTCAGGTGTTGGTCCATGCTGACTGGGAAGTGCTGGGAAGCAAATAACATGGTTTCCATTTGGTGGGCAGAGAACCCTGAGGTAGACAGTCTGTTCTAGTTTCAGAAAGTCAATAAATAGCTGTGTGACCTCCAGCAAGTCACCAAGCCTCTCTGGGTTCCATTTTACTTAAGGTATAAAATCAGATAAATAATTTCTGTTCTTTCAGGTTATTGGGAGTGGTTTGAAAAAAATGATTTAAGACTTCACAGCAAGCTATACCATGATACTCTGGGATATTTTGAGAGTTCAAAACAAATATAAGAAAATAAAATATTGATGATACTGGGTATTCAAGACTCCTGTACATTTACAGTTTCAAAGTAACAGTAGTCTGTCTCTATAGGAATGAATAGCAGTATGTACCTTGAATTGTAGAGAAAAAAAATCTCATCATTTCTAACATAGGCTCTGGGTGGTATTTGACATAGTATCACGGTTGAGGGAGAAATTATTTTTGTAAAAAAAATAGCATGTTCATAGAGAAATGAAAGCACTCTGGGTTCCTTTGGCAGGAGAATAAAAGGGTGGAAGGCCAGGGAGTAACTTTGGATTTGTGAATCATTTAAATCTCAGCTTTAAAAAAAAAAAAAAACGTGGTAAGGAAATACCCCTAAGAAGTCAATGTGAGACTGCCATCAGCCAAACCACCCAAGTGGGCTTTGGGGATCTGAGCCTGATAGGGTCTCCTGTGAAGCTCGAGGGTGGATCCTGAGGCATGGTTTTTTCCCTGGAAAACTTTCCGGGGCTTGTGACTGGGACTGGCCACTGTGTCAGCCTGAAGCATCTAGCTCTGCCCTTATTCCCTAAGAAATGCCACAGGCTTGTAGCAGGCACTTGTCTGACACCTGCATGCCCTGGGCACTGAAAGGTGACCGCTCTTCCTAGGTGTTGGGAAGTGTGTTTTTCTTGCACACAGTTTTTTGCCTATGACCACTTATATTTGGGACATAGAAAACAAAGGTAACGTCCACATCTTCTCCCTATGGGGTCTGATGACAGTCTCTTGGGGTCATTTCTTTGCTTTATTCGGTTTTGCCAAAAATACGAACCCATCTAGACCTTGCAAAGAAAGTAGGTTTTTCTGGTGGTTTTTAAAATTAATTGATTGATTGATTTGCAGTGTTTCTTGAGAATCGGTCATACCTAATAATCCGATTACCTCTGAAGTTTTTCTTTGCGAGGGGGAAAAGACAATTGTAATAATCTTTCCATGTTGAAAAACTGCCCCTGCATCCTGGTGCCCTGTTGTGTTTGCTTCTCTGTCTCCAGGGAGTTCTGTCCAACATCTCTTCCATCACCGATCTCGGCGGCTTTGACCCAGTTTGGCTCTTCCTCGTGGTGGGAGGAGTGATGTTCATTTTGGGATTCGCAGGGTGCATTGGAGCACTACGGGAAAACACATTCCTTCTCAAGTTCGTGAGTATCCCCTTCTGCCTGCCGGCCGAGGGCCAAGCTGCCGTCCTCCTGCAGGAGGACACCCTATCTATAGGCGAGGTGGCTCTGCCACAGGCGCAGTGAAGATATGGCCCAGCTAATGCTTTCCTTTCAGGAGAACTCTCTAGATCACCGCCCATCTGCCCCTCCATGCTTCCTCAATAATGTAAGTACCACGCCCAACCCATGCCATCTGTGGAGATTTTGTACGGATATATCAGGATTTTGCATTCCAATCCCTCAAATGCCTTTAGACTAAAGTAGGTATATGTATAGTTTTCTTCTTTGAGGTGTTTTTTTCCTCTTCTTTTAAGCACATAGTCAGTAGGGAGCTGTTCATACAGTTGGTTTAGAAAAACCAGACATCAACCCAGTGGCTGTGGCCTGTTCAGATGAAATCTGTTAAGAAATAGGTTTCGGTGAACATGGAGAAACAGCAAGGGGCACATCTTCTTCTCTGCCAGTCCAGAGTTTTCCTTTTGTATGATCAGCATAATTTTTAGATCCCTTGCAGGGAGTTGGGTGTGATCACTGTCAGCATGAGTATTTCTGGAGGAGGAGTTTTATCGGGGGCAGATAAGTAATAAAAGGAGAGAATGCGAAGTGAAAGCCTTTCCTTTGGAGAGTCCTTCCAGAGGAGAACGGAATGGCCTGTGTTTCCATGTATGTATCCGGAACAGGTTTGGAAAGTGTAGCCAAAGGTCAGCTGAATATGCCGGTCCGTGTGGAGCTTGGCATTGTGGTGGGCATCCGTGTCCATGTTCTCTGTGCGGCAGCGTCCACTCCCCTTTCCAAACACAGGGAAAGGATGAAAAAAAAAAAATCCACCTTCCTGTGGTGAGGAAAGATGGTGGGATTTCTAGACGGTGAATTAGTGTCCTCTCACCTGTTCCTAGAATCCTGCTCAACATCGTCCAGGGACATCTTCGTTTAAAACTAGAGCATGTCACCAGTCTCCATAGCTGGGGGCGGGGGCGGGGCGTGCTTCTCTTCCCCCGCATTGCTGCCACATCATCCTCTGGCATTTTTCTTGAATATCCCTAAAGAGTGTGGACTCACCATACCGCCCCCAGGATAGCCCGTTTCTTCGAATTTGGGCCGCCCTGGTGCAGATGAGGTTTTGACGAATCTAACCTGAAAAGTCCTATGTTTAACCTGCAGGTTTACATGACTCTGTGGTCAGGGAGACTGAGGGATCCTTGCTCCTCCGTACAATTGAATGAGCAGTTGGCTCTCTGTTCTGTATACATTGGTCTGTGGTGGGAGCAGCTGGTTTCCCAACACTCCATTGGCCTTATGCCTTACCTCCTAGTTCCCCCTTTTAAACATACACACACAGTTACTTCATTGCCCACCTAATCAAAGACCTGTGGAGTCCCCAGGAGAGCTTTGCCCCCGATCCTCACCTGCCAACCTGCCAGTCTTCTTGGCACGAGATCCTTCTAAATGTGTGGGCTCCCCTCACTCAGCTTTTCTATAGCCTCATCGGGCCCCAGATAATACTTAACCGCTTGCCACTGTTTTATCGGTTTCAGCCTCCATGCCCTCAAATATGGGATCCCCTTTAATGTGATTTACTTGAATATAGTTCAGTTTATGAGAGTAGTCCCTTTAATATAATTTATCGTGTTTGTCGTACAGGCAGAAATAGATCCATGTCTCTAAATCAGCACCTTAATTTATAAAGTTCCATGTTGGAAATGAAGAAAATTGTATTGTTTCTTGGCTTTTGAAAATCACAGATAATATTTAAAATGGCCTCTCTGTTTAGTACAAACAATGAAAACTGGCCCAGAATATTCTTTGAGCAGGAGCTATGAAGTAGGTAGGAAGTGAATGTCAACATGCCTCTAACAGCCCCCGAGATCTGATGCTGCAAGGCTATGAGATTTGCTGAGGGAAAGTCTGAGAGCTAAGATAGTGTGAAATGGAAATGGAGCCTCCTGGTCGACTGAGACCCTAAGTCAGTTTCTGCACCTTTGGAAATGGGGGAAATGAGGTCACCCAGGGCACACAGGTTTCTGCCAAATAATTCGATAAGAATTGAATTTGAACTCAGTTTTTGATCTATATATCATATAGCATTAAGAGAAACTTTACCAGGGTAACTGGAAAATGAGCTTGCCTAAACTTTGCGGTGGCAAGAACAAAAATCGAATTAAAATCCCGCGTGACTTCTGTGGTGGCATTTTGGGTGCACATGCATGTGAGCTAGCTATGATTTTTCTCGTTCGTATAGCATGATAACTTTTGTATTTCTGTACCTAATAAAGGGAGGGGAGTTGTTTTATCCTGGGGGGTAGGCATTGAGTAAAAGTGATCTTTTTTTTCCCCTGTCCTTTTTTTCTAGATTGAGGAAATCTTACTTTGAAATTATTGGTACCGCTGATGATAGTTTAAATCCTCTTTCTACTGAATTCACCAAGGAGAGATAACCAGGAGGAGGTCTCTGGAACCTGAAGGGCTGAGCTCTCGAGGGTCTAGAATTAGAGCCCAAACCTTGGAGTCCTAGACTTTGCCAGGCACTTACTTCTTTCTTCCACCCCTCCCCTCATGCCCACCCTTCCGGAATGGCACTTGGTGCCCTGGATAAACCCTGGCAGATATACGGAGATCTGATGTGGAACGGCTCCACCCCACTGCCCTCCCCCAAGCCCCACCCCCACAGCACAGAAGACCATGGGGTCTTTGGAGGCAGGATTGTATTTTACCCATCCTTGCTTCTGCCAAGCCCACCAAATCCAAGACCTGATCTGTTAGGGGTCCTTCAGATGTTTGCTGGAGGAATTAACATCTTTTTTTTTTGTTTTAATAAATAACTCTGCGGTGTCCTTTGCACCACTCCTCCAGCACATTTTTCTCTTGGTTGGCTGCTGGGTGTCTGCTTGCTGAGCGGAGAAACAGACAGCTTCGGCCCCCTCTGCCTCCTCAGCCGCTCGCATCCCGTAGCCTCCATGGGCTCTGCTGCACACCTGTGGCCCCGGTGGCTCCCTTTCTGTCCATGTCACCAGAAGCTGGCCTGGTCCTTTACAGCCTCATTTCTCATAATCTGTCTCAGCAAAAAAGTTGGGAAAGAGTAAGAGTGTGGGGGTGAGAGGGAGTGGAAGGAACCGTGGGCGTGAACGGTACGTTGATGAAGGGCTCTTCTGAGTCTTCAAGATGAAAGGGAGATTTCTCCAGATTTATGGGCAGTCACCACGTTACCTGTGGCCCCAGCCTTCCCGTGTAAATTCTTGTCCGCGTCAGCCAGAAGTCTGCCTTTGGCTGCGGGTTGATGTTATTTAAAATCTTCCGAGACTGGTATTTACAAAGAAGGGTGAGCCCAGCTAGTGTTCCTAAGAAAACTTTCACCCCAGTTTTCATGATGGGAAATGATTTTCATGTCTTCGTCACCCCCGCCCCCGACACACACACACTTCCTCTTTGACCGCCTTGTCTAAGATGAACACATCTGCCATTTTACCCCCTAAGGTAGTTGCAAAGGGGATTTAAAGCAGTGTCTAAATCCAAAAAAAAAAAAGGAATGTATTGCATACGGAATCAAGGCCATAGTAACAAATGACAGTCGATCTTAAAGTACTGGGTTAGCTTCTCTTTCAACATTAGGAGAGCTTACTAGGGGTAGGGGCGGGTCGTTGTTCAAGAGTCTGGCGGTGCATGAATCCAGAGGTCATTAGGCCTTAATGTGGGTCTAATGAGAAATTCCTTTTATCCATGTTTGCTTATAGGCTTTGTTGTTTAATTACCAAATGGACCACCAGAGCCCTTAAAATGTGATTATGAACGATTTTTAAAAAAAATCCTTTCTTGGAGTGTAATATTCTGTTAATGAACCTTAAGAAACTGAAGATTATCTGCTTTGGACGTGTGTAACAACCCAATGTAATTACAAACTTTTTTAGAAGGGACCATTTATAACTATATATGATCAAAATAGCCCCTTTAACTGTTCTCTCTGTGTCTTTTGTCTTAGTTTTCTGTGTTCCTGGGAATTATTTTCTTCCTGGAGCTCACTGCTGGGGTTCTGGCATTTGTTTTCAAAGACTGGATCAAAGACCAGCTGTATTTCTTTATAAACAACAACATCAGAGCGTACAGAGATGACATTGATTTGCAGAACCTCATAGACTTCACGCAGGAATATGTAAGTTTAAATTTGGTTTATTTTTAAGTTAAAAGCCTTCTCGAGGAATGAACGTCACTCCTGGCTTCTGCCTGCGCCAGCTGGAACCTCCCTCTGACTTTGCCACATGGGTTTTTTTTGGTTGGTTTAGTTGTGTATGCATTATTTTCTAACCTGCTTTATGACTTCCATAGGAAATGTCCTATTTTCACTTATCTCAATTTCTACTAAGTCCGAGGGACAAAGAAAACCTCTTGAGCAACAAGATTATAAGCACACATGCTGTTTCCAATTGACATCTGCAGAATTTTGTTTTGCTGTAGGTGTAACGTGTTATGTAGTGTCCAGAGTGGATTCTTTCTTGCTCCTTGCCCCCTTTTTGGCCATCCTCCACCCTTCACGTCTCCTAACAATACAGTCAGCAATAGAATATTTGTCCACAAAGTTCCTAAAACATGCCTATCCAAATATTATAGCACACGCAGTTCCACGCGACCAGAAGTTGAGCAACTTCTAAGCCCAGGTGGGGCTTCTAACAAGTGAAGAATCTGCTCAGCAGAGCCGCCTCCGCCGCGCCCCCAGGTTTCCGAACGTCACTAGGTGATGTCCCCTGTCATGCAAATGAAGTCGCAGATGCCCCGTTTGACTCAAAATGGAAAATGGTATAAACAGGGGATCAGAAATAGAGATCTATGCCAAACTCTAATTAGCTAAGTGACCGTGGGCTAACAGAACCTTGACCTGTTTCCCCAGTTAGTAAAGTACAAATAATAGCAGCTACTGTTTAACTCATGCGAATGTTAGGACACTCTAATAAGATGTACGTGATTTTATATGAGGCTGAAGGTGTTACTGTCCTTGTGTGTTAAGGTCCTTATTTGCATGCCCTGAGAGATTGGACAGTGGTGTCTGTGACCTAAATGTCTGTGGCGGGACTGGAGGGCAAACAGAAGCCCAGGGGACCAATGGCTGTCTCTTGGTTGGACAGCTTTGCAGAGGGAGCTGGGGGTCCGCTTTGATAAAGGAGGAGACGGCTGCATCGGCACTTGCCCTGTGGGAGACCACGCTCCTTCGTTAGGTACTCAGAAGTGAGCGGAGTTGTGTTGCTTTGATTCAGCAGCATCCGTGACTGGCCCAGAGTGAGCTGCACCTCAGGTGTGAAATTAAGCCCTGCTTCATCTCCTCAGCAGACGTCACTGTCTTGTTAGGTCATAATGGATGCAAGCTCACATCTTGCCAAGTATTCTTGCTGACTAGTTTGCATGACAAATCTGATGAAGCTTTGTAGGCAGACCTCGAGATGCACAAGCCAAGCCCTTGGAGGACCAGATGAGTTGGAAGAACATGAGTATACACGTTCTCTTGAAATGCTGTCTGCTTTATATGGAAATACTGTTATTTCATGTGATTTTGTTTTTCTGTCACGGAGTGTAATGTTGTGAAGTAGCTCTTGGTCCTGAAAGCCTGAAAATGGTCAGGGCTTGATGTTTACCTAACTCAGAGAGGAGAGCTGGTAGGGGAGTGATGAAGGGGCCTCTGGAGCAGCCAGTCCTTGAACCAGGCCCTTCTGAGACTCACTGACTTCAACAGCTGATTTTATATATATTTTAATGAGAGGATGGAATTTTTTAAAGTTGAAAATGTAAATGCATGTTCTTAAAAAAAGTTCAGAGTAGTAACAGATATACAAAGAAAAGTAAGCCTTTAAAACTTTGGCACGTCATGAGTATGTTCACTATCTTCGTTGTGGTGATGGTTTCACAGTGTATACATATGTCAAATCTTATAAGATTGTACCCTTTATGTGCAGTTTATTGTATGTCGATTATACCTCGATAAAAAGGATTTTTACAAAATCATTAAGGCTGCAGAGACCACAATTTTTAAAAAAGTAAGCCTCTAGCTCTCTCACCCACAACCCCAGTTGCCTCCTTCAGACACTACCGTGGTTTGGTGTCTTGTTTACCCTTCTAGAATGTTCCTCCATGCACCCACGCCAAGCAGACCTTGCTTTGCTGTACAAACTCCTGCCCTGTCTGCCCTTCCAAGACCTAACACTGTGGGTCTCATCAGTCACTTAAATCAGATGCTAGCACATCCTTACAAATCTTGAGCCTTAGTCACTTTGAAGCTTCTGTAGGGCCCCTTTAGGTTTAGCTTGGTTTGATATAAATTCTGAGACAGAAGAGAAGCTCAGAGCTGGCAGAAGCTGGGTGGTGGTCGTTTGGCGGTTGTGAGTGTAGGCGCCTGGTCGCCTCCAAGTCGAGATGTTCTAATTCTCTCCTGTTTGCTCTAGTGGCAGTGCTGTGGGGCTTTTGGAGCTGATGATTGGAACCTAAATATTTACTTCAATTGCACAGATTCCAACGCAAGTCGAGAGCGATGTGGCGTGCCATTCTCCTGCTGCACTAAAGACCCTGCAGTAAGTGAATGCCTGCAGACTGCTGGCGGGGCCGGGGCTGGGGCGGGGGCGGGGGGTGGGGTGGGGGGGATGAACAGAGTGATTTTTTTTTTTTTTTCCTTGAAACCTCTTCTTACCTGCTTATGCCTAATTGTAGCTCCTAAAGAGGGCATAGTGCTCAGATCTTCCCAGTAGGAGTAATCATCGCTGACATGAATTTGGCAGCACACGCTGGTTCTTATTCTCAGCCTTCTTGTGAGTTGGCTCAATAAAGTTCGGAACATTCCTACTGGCAGTATCACCACCATCTTCCCTCTTTGGGTGAAACGCAGGCCCATGGAGGTTAAGTAACTTTCCCAAGTTCACATTGCTAGCAAGTGATGGAGCTGAGCTTTAGACCAAGGAAGCCTGCCTGAAGTGCCTGTTATTCCTTCCTCATAAGAGGGACGGGCTTAGGCGAGAGTTCTCGGCATTGCCTGGGAGGGCAGTGACCCTTTGCTTCCTGACTTGGTTCTGGGGGGAATCTTCGGGATACGACAAGAGTCTGAGGCGAGATAGGGCCAATCTCCTAGGGAGGAAGCCCACAGCTGCCTGGGCTCTTGGTTGGAATGATGATAGTAAGTGCTGTTTGCATTTTATTTAAGAAAAGAAAAAGCGTTAAACATGTTCATAACCCTTTCACCATGGGTTTGGTTGTGTTCTGGGTCACATCATGTGACTGGTATGTAGGGTGACATAAAATGCTAAGTGCCTTGTTATAAGGTAAAAGCTGGGAGTGAGGGTTAGAACAAGTGGGAGACTGCTTCTGCATGTGTCTATTCTACATTCTTCGGTCTCCCAGGCCATCGGTCCAGGCAGCCTACCCCAGACCACCCTTCTTGAAACCAGTCGGAGCCCAGTGGGTGCTAATGAGTTCAGTGGCCATTTCCCCGTGCAAAGTGGAGCATGTGGGGCTCTTTAAAAGGGGCCATGGTCTCGGTGTGGAGCAGGTAGTTCCCTGAGGGCTTCAGAGGGGTCTCTGGGCTCCTGGTCTGAAAGAGACTGAGAATCAGAAAGGACTGGGTGCCCCTGCTCTGAGACTTTGCCAGGAAGCCCACTTCTCCCACTGGCTCATGTCTTGCTTTCCTCCGAGGAGGGCTGACAGGCAGGAGGGTGCCCAGCACAGAGACCTGGGTGTCTACCCAGGCGGCCTTGCGCTGGCCAGCAGGTACAAACTGTTCTGTCTCCCACTCCTGCCCTGTGTTAACATTCCATCAGAAGAATTATGAAGAGTGTCAGAAGGCCTTATGCCTCCCCTTTCAACTACAGATACTCTGGGTAGAGATTTCGCATTCCACAAAGGCTGAGCTAATAAAATCCACCCCATACCCTGCAGAGGGGGAAAATAAACAAACCTAAAACAGGAGAACCCATGTTTCTGATAGGGCCTGTGAGACATCAGGGTATCTGCCCATGTGATATGTTGTTGGGACATTGTATTTTTTTTTTAATTATTAAAGTAATGCATTCTCATTGAAAAACCATTTAAATGATACAGAAGTATATAGATTAAAAAGTAGAAGTTCCCCCAAAAGAGCGTAAATGAAGATAGTCATTGTGCTCTTTCCCCATGGTTTTAACTATGTCTCCGTTTTCTAACCCCTGTAAGCCTCCTGAGGTGGTCAGTAACGCGCTTGCTATCCTTATATATTCTGAGCGTCAGTTTTCTTCTTCTGGAAAAGAGGGCATATTTTAATACCTACTTCTGAGGATTGTTATAATAATTACTTTGGATAAGGTATCAGAGTGTTTATTTAACCCGGTACGTAGGACATCTGCATGCCCGAGTCCGCATTCGATTAACGACGCTTAACAGGAATCTTCTGCTAAGTCTGAGGCGGGTTTCCTGTCTGTTGAGTGATTTTCACCTTTCTGTTTCCTTTCTCTACCAGGAAGATGTCATCAACACTCAGTGTGGCTATGATGCCAGGCAAAAACCAGTAAGTGGAATCTCATCTTGTCACTTAGCACAAAGGGTGTTGCAGGAGCTTTTGAACCTGCATGGTGACGCTGTGCTCTCCTCTTCCCTTGTGAAGGAAGTTGACCAGCAGATTGTAATCTACACGAAAGGCTGTGTGCCCCAGTTTGAGAAGTGGTTGCAGGACAATTTAACCATCGTGGCTGGTATTTTCATCGGCATTGCATTGCTACAGGTAAGACAAGGCTCCTTGATGGATGTCACAGGGAAATGATGCCCTGGGAGAGCACTCCCCATGACAGGAGCTCTGCTGAATCCCCTTAATGTCACGTTTTTAAGACACCTCGGAGGGCTGGGGAACAGACCTAAGCTATTTTGTTTCTATTTTATTTAAAGCCCTGATTTTAGATGCTACTATCCTGAAATACTTTAGGAAATCTTTTTTTCCTTTTCAAGATGGAGAAATTGATTGGGTCAGTAATGGGCTACTGGCATTCCAGTGTTCCCATGGCCCAAGTAATCACTGCCTTGTGACAGGTGGGGGAGACAGGGATGGTTGGAAGTAGATCCCAGTGGCAAGATTAAGACTTTTTTAGACAGTCATCCTGTGTCCCTTTCTCTCTCTGGACCACCTTGTCAAAGTGTTAGGGAAGGAAGCACCCACTTTTCCTCCTAAGCAGCCCCAAGAGCTGGGCTTTTTATCTTGGGGAGATATAATACTTTTCTTAGAGGGTCACAAATGGGGCACAGTGGTTGAAAGAAATTAAAGAAGACCTATATATATGGAAAGCCATTCCATATTCATAGATTGGAAGACTTAATATTCTTAAGGTGGCAGTACTCTTCAAATTGATCTACAGGTTCAGTGCAATCCCTATCAAAATTACAACTGCCTTTTTTTTTTTTTGCAAAAATGGACAAGGCCCATCCTAAAATTCATGTGGAAATGCAACGGACCCAGAATAGCAAAACAAACTTGAAAAAGAGCAAAGTTGGAGAACTCACACTTTCCGATTACAGACTTACTACAAAGCTGCAGTGATCAAGGTAGTACATAAGGTTGAACATACAGATCAGTGGAATAGATTTGAAAAGTCAGAAATAAGCCCTACCCCTAAGGTCAGTTGATTTTTGACAAGGGAACTAAGACCAGTCATTAGGGAAAGAATAGTCTTTTCCACAAATGGCACTGGACCAACTGTATATCTGTAGGCAAAAGAACGAATTTGGACCCCTACCTCACACCATATATAAAAAATTAACTCCGACTAGATCAAAGACCTAAATTTAAGAGCTAAAGCTATAAAAAACTCTTTGAAGACAGTGTACATGTAAATCTTTGTGGCCTTGGATTAGGCAGCATTTTCTTACATATGATACCAAAAACACAAGCAACCAAAGGGAGTAGGTAAGTTGGATTTCATCAAAATTTAAACTTCTGTGCTGAAAAGGATACTATTAAGAAAGAGAAAAGACAATCCACAAAATGAGAGAAAATATTTGCAAATCATTATGTCTGATAGGGGGTTTGGTGTCTAGAATGTATAAAGAACGACTCAACAATAAAAAGACAAACTCAATTTAAAGATGGCCAAAGAATTTGAATCAGATATATCTCCAAAGAAAGTACAAATAGCCAATAAACTCATGAAAAGATGCTCATCATTGGATGTTAGAGAAATTCAAATTGAAACCACACTTCACACATACTAGGATGGATATAATTAAAAAGGAAGACAATAACAAATGTTGGCAAGAATGTGGAGAAATGGGAACCGTTGTACATTGCTAAAGGGAATGAAAACTGTAGTCACTGTGGAAAAGAATTTGGCGCTTCCTCAAACTTAAATGGAGTTCACATAAGACCCAGCAATTCCACTCCCAAGGGAATTGCAGATCTGTTCACCAAAAAGTTGTACACGGACATTCACAGCAGCACTATTCATCATAGCCAAAAAGTGGAAATAGTGTGCCCATCAACTGATGAAGGATAAACAAAATGTGGTTTATCCATCTAGTGGAATCTTATTCAAGCCACCAAAAGGATTGAACTACTGGTACCTGCTACTATATGGATGAACCTTGAAAACATTTTGCTGTGTGAACCCAAAAGCCCACATATTATATGATTCTATTTATATGAAATGTCCAAAATAGGCAAATCCTAGAGATTGAAAGTAGATTAGTGGTTGCCAAGGATGGGGGAATGGGAATGCCTGCTAATGGGTACGGAGTTTCTTTTCAGCATTATGAAATGTTCTGGAATTAGATAGTGGTGATAGTTGCACATCCTTGCACGTATACTAAAAATCACTAAAGTATAGACTTGAAAAGGACATATTTTATAGTATATGAATTATTTGTCAATTTAAAAAATCAGAGATAAGGAAAAGGGGATTCACTGGCCAGGAAGAAGCCTACTGAAGTTGAGTTTCACTGACTCTCTTTTCCTTCCTTTCTCAGATTTTTGGGATCTGCCTGGCTCAGAATTTGGTTAGTGATATTGAAGCTGTCAGGGCTAGCTGGTAGAGCCCTGCGTCACTGCTGTAAGACACTGGACCGACCCAGCCTTCCTGACCCTCCAGCGTGCCCAGCCGAATCCACGCTGCAATCCCACGTGATGGAACTGCCGAGAACTTGGTTTTGGGCGGGTACAACTGGGAAATGCTGCTCACTGACAGAATTAAAAAGATAACCAGTATGAAAGTCGTTGCGCCGTGAATCTCTACTGTAGCCATGAATTTATGGTTGGTTGGATACTTACCAAAAAAGAAAAAAAAAAGGGAGGGTGAGGGACCCAGATGTGCTTGAATTTGTGGAACACACAGTCTTGTTCTCTCCTTCAGTGATCGGAGGGCTGGGAGAGGCGGTTTTTGCTCTTCGTCACACCTTGAGGGGACTTTCTGGTCTGTGGCCTAAAGAAGTGCATCTTTTCCAAAACTCAACCCCTTACCTGGGAGGGCTGTGGTTTTTTTGTGTTTTTGTTTTTGTTTTTGTTTTGGCATCCCTTCACTGTACATTTCAGGAACCTGTTACAACTATCACCCCAAGAGGAAAACAGCTTGTCTTTGGGTTCAGATGTTGTGATCGCATTCACAAGTCATGTGGGTGGGCACGCCTGGTCTCTCCTGGAGTGTCTTTTTCAGGAGGAGTTGTGTATTCCATGTGCATGGAGTAAGGGGCATTGGAACATTTCATGAGGCTGAATTTTAGCAGGACAGATCGTTGTTCTATGTAGGCCTGAGCTGTATCTATCAGTGAAATTCAAGGAGAACATGAGGTTAATGAAGAGGTATTAATTAATATCCCTCACCCCAGCCCACCAAATTAGTTGTTGGATTCTTTGGAAACTGGAATACTCTGGGTTTTGTCCTGCTTTTTTGTGTGTGTTTTTGTTTTGGTCTCCCAGAAGTGAGAGCTAGGAAAACGGTTTCTCTTAACGTGTTTTTTTACTCCGCTCGAATATTAATTTGTTTGGTATACTCTCCCTGCATGATCTGTGAATCTGACTCTACCAGCCCCTTTTCCTGCCATCTTTCCTACAAGCATTTATAAACGTTACTTGGTCCGCGTTTATTTCTTGGGCTCACTGCCGTGAGAGGTGTGGCGTGTCCTCCCTGGCTGGGAAGGGACCGGCCTGCCGTGCCGTCGCAAATGCTTTCACGGACTCAACAATCCCTTGACCCCGTCCAGTCTTCGGGCCCTGGTCTGCAGCACCCTCCGCCCCCTTCTCTTGGAATGGAATTGAATCTAATTCCGAAACAGTGTTGACGCAATCAGAAAACTTCTGTTTTGTTTTGTGTTTTTTCTCATTCTGGTTTTAGTTTGCTTTTATTAAAAAAAGAAAAAAAAAAACAAAAACAAAAAAGCAAAAGTGCATGGCCAGAGCTCCTTCTGTTCTCATAGTGCAGACTAACCAGCAGGATGGTAACAAAGCACAAATACTTTGGAGGGAAGTGCATCGATGGGGCAATTGTTCTGTGACCCAAGGTGGCACCACTTCCAGGTGCTGCCACTCACGCCTGTCCCCACTAACGTGGGGAGGGATGAATTTTGCCCCCAGATTTGATTCCAGCTGGTTTCTACCAGGATGTCCCTCTCCTGGGGAGCAGATAATTAGCCTGTGGAATGCTAGGAAAATCACAGGTGTATTTTGTGGTGATGACCCACTTGCCAACACAAAACTGCATCCTTGCCAGCGAGCATGCTTTGTGGAAACTTAGCAAGGTTTTCTATTTTAGCCCCATGTTGCATCACTGCAGCTGATGAACGTGTTAATCTGCTCAGAGAAAGGACGAATATTCTTTGAAAATTATCTCCAGAGTGTGGGTGTATGTATGACTGCATGTGTGTTTTTGTGTCTCTGTATAGTTAGAGATGTTCGTTCCACATTCCGGCTGTAAGATGATTTTGTGTCATCTCTGCCCCCATGCAGTTGTCATTCTGTAATGTCATTCCAACATGGAGAAGACTTGAGCCCTGCAGTTGGCACTCTTGTCTCTTTTTTTTATTACCTCATTCTCCAGTGAACTCCATCTGACCAGTTGATTCAGAATCAGGCAAGATTCCCTCCCTTTGGCACATCCAGTGAAAGGCCAAACAGCAAGTCCAAGTGAGTTCTAAATTTTAATTAATCACCCTTTATTTTTTACACTTGAGAGTGGTTGTAATTAAGGCTGTCATTAATAAACTGGTTCTACCTTACCTGGAGTTATGTCTTTCTTCATTACCTGTCTTGGAATTGCAGAATTCTCTAATTCAGTGGTTCTCAGACTTTAGCATGCATCGGAATCAAATGGAGGGCTTGTTGAAACCGATTACTGTGTTTGCCCCAACCCCGGAATTTCTAACTTAGTCGGTCGGGGTGGGGCGCAAGAATGTGCCTTTCCGGACAAGTTCCCAGGTGATGCTGTTGCTGTGTCTTGGAGGCACAGTTTGAGAAGCATCGCTCTGATCAGTTCTCTAAGGGGGAAAGGAACCTTTGGGGGTTTGGGAGGGAAGGGTCCCTTTGTGCCTGCTGGATGCAGAGAGAGAGCTGGGTATATCAGAAATCTGTCCCTGAGGTCACTGTCTGATGGTCGCGATCACCTGGGGACCATGTAGGACATGAGTGATCTGGCCTTGCCCATCGCGGTTTTGGAGTGGGGGAGCCAGAGCCTTTGTTTTTAAGAAGCTCCCATTAAAAAATTTAATACACAGTGAGATTCAGGACCCATTATTTTGGTAATATTCACAACATTTTTTCTAAGAAAATAATTTCTAGTAGTCCCTGAGAACAAGAATCTTAACCCATTTGAGAAGAGCCAACATAAATGTCCTTTCCTTTTGAATTATCACTGTAGAAAGACTTTATAAAACTATTAAAGACTTTTTTCAAAGATCAAATGAGAACAAAATTTTAAGGTTCATACAGTATTCTCAGGCCCAAGTATGTCCCGAGACTTTGAGAAACATTTTACCTCATTTCCCTGGATATTTGAGACCAAAATATTATTTTGACTTTAAAGAAATTGGTCAGCGGCAATTGGAGATAAGCAATACCTAGTGAGGTCTCTTAGCACAGCTAAGATTATCTACCTATGTGAGGAAATTGGCCCTCCTTGCTCACAGCAAACCACAGCACACCAGGCCAACAAAGAAAAATTACAGCTCAGAGGTAAAAGGATGCTTTGTCGACAAAACTCAAAACTTACAGGAAGTTTCTTCCCTGTTTAGAAGGTAGACTTTGGAGGATGGTTATTAAGTTTCTCCTTATCTCTATTGTTTGGTTACAACAAACATCATTGCTTCCATGATTTAAAAATACCTAATACGGTTTTTAAAAATGAAGAATTTTGCATCACGAAGCACTTAAAAGAGAAGTCCCTTTTTTTCCTCCTTCCTGCTACAGGTCCCAGTCATCCTCCTGTCAAGGGGATTCTGAACAGTGTCTGTTGGCCTTTTCTTACGGTGCAGGTTTTCTCATTCGCGCCAGTGTGTGTGTGTGTGTGTGTGTGTGTGTGTGTGTGTGTGTGTGTGTTTTCGCGCGCGCACGCGTGGGCAGGAGTGGAGCCATGCAGCACTTCTGTGGAGTCCGTCTCTGTCGGTTTCCGTTTGCTTGGACAGGAGCCCTGGGAAGCCCGTGCGCCAGACAATGAGGAGCCGGAGCCCAGTGACCTGGGTGGCCCTCCGCAGCTCTGTCATTTATTCGGTGAAGCCCTCTTTCTCTAGGGAAATCCTGTTTAGACCTCCAAGGAAGAACCGGAAACCTCTCCATAAACCCTGGCCAGTGGGGGTTCATGGCTGGCTCTCTCCGGGGAGGGCATGGGGCTGCTTCCGGGTGCTGCCTTCTCAGCAGTGAGAGGCCTAGTCTTTGAGAAGGAAAATGCACTGTTGGCCGGGAAACGTACTATTCCTGGCCTTTTGGTGACATGATAAAATCTCTATATGACAACAGTTAAGGGAGATGTGTCTGGGCAGGGGTAGGGGGCAGAGGAGAGAAGCCAAACTCTGAGCAAGGACCAAAGCCATCTTTAGTCTTACCTTTGCCTTCTCTCTTTTTTTGGAGTTTGTGACAAAGGTGGAGTTTATAAAATTATAGAAGTCCTCGTTTTTAGGACTTCTTTAATCTGGGGAATTAAATACAGCTTCCTTTGGATGGTTCATGCTGAGTAGTTATCTTATAAGCTTGGCACCCATGACAGGATGCCTGAGTTAGTCCACTCCTGCTCTCCATGAACCCAAACCAAAATCCTTGCGACCTGCACTGGCCAGTGCAATTTCCTCCTTTATTTCTAGGAACTCCCGACCAGAGAAAACCTAAAGGAAGAGCAGGTTAGTGCATGGGTTTCACACTGTGTAAATATACTCCAAAAAGAAAGCAGCACGCAAACAAGAAAGTGTGTCCCATGTTGTTGCTTTTCATCGAATGTGTAATTGCGCTGTAGGCGGGAGAAGGCCACCTTTTCAATCTGGAGCTTATCTTCGTGTATTAACTTTTGCAGAGCGAATGGTTTGACAGGAACGTTTTAGTGGCCTGCCCCCTAGTGGTGACCATGTAAAACGACTTACTGGGGTTGGAATAGTTACTGCGGGAATGAAATGACTATTCAGAGGTCCTTGTGCTTTGGAGGAACTTGCGGGTCATACGGCTGCATTTTGTGTCCTTTGGGTAGGTAAGTCTTTAATTCCCTTTACAGACTCCTGGAAATGATATAGCTTGTTTTGGCAAGCGAGAGAGCAGGGTGTTTAGCTCCCTTCACCTGAATCTATGTCCTGACCTTCCTGCGGGGACTTTATAGGGCTCTGGGGCAGGGTGCATGCAGGGCAAAGCTGGGCCCTGCCTTCCTGCCAAGACTCAGACACAGTTTTATAGAGGAGGCGGTGGCTCTCTAAAAGTGCTCATCTGCCAGGCAGGCAATTCTCCCGAAGCAATGCATACAACATTTCTTGTATTTTCTCTACAAGCACCTGTGTGGATCACCTGGGGTTTGCTTGGATCTGAGAATCTGCAACTTCAATTTTAAAGAAGACTGCTAGGGTGTTGGGGTGGTCCGGATCACCAGCTGTAACTTGTGTTTGAGGAGTTTGTTACGGGTTGAACTGTCTTCCAGAAACTCATATATCGAAGTCCTTACCCCCAATACAGCAGAATGTGACCTTATCTGCAACTAGCGTCATGGCAGATGTCATTAGTTAAGATGAGGTCCTACTGGAGTAGGATGCGTCTTCTGAAAAGGGGAAATTTGGACATGGATCCGCACAGAGGAGGAATGCCGAAGACCGCCAGGAAGCCGGCAGAGGCTAGAAGGGAGGCATGGAACGGATTCTCCCTCAGAGCCTTCTGGAGGGACCAATCCTACCAACACCTTTGCACTTTTACACCCCAGAATTGTGAGACAATTGCTGTGGCTTAAGCCACCGACTTGGTGCTACTTTGTTACTGCAACCCTCGGAAACAAATACAGAGTTTGACTGCCTCGTGCTGGTTTCCAGGGTAGACGGGGTGGGACTGCTCTGAGGTCTGTATGCTGCTTTCCGGCAGGAGGACGATCGGTGTGCTTGTGCCCCGGGCGGAGCGCCTGAACTTGGCATGGGGCATGCTCTATCTGCTTTGGGCTCTTACAAAATAGTCTCAACATGTTTTGTGGGACATCTTAAACATAGGGAATGCTTTATTACACTATGATTGAAAATGGTGGTCCTGCAGTCTGTGTTTAAGTAAATGATCTTAAATGTAACTTGTTAGAGTGATTAAAGCCTTGTTAATAAAATAGCTATATTTCCATGATGTGTGTTTTCTTGAACTCCTGTTGCTTTGTGACGGAATCAGCCCACTGGTTCATGGACACCCTGCTCTAAGATGGTGCCAGGGGGAATGCGTTGTCTGTCCCTTGAAGTGACAGGTGGCATTTACTCCAAGTTTACTATGTTCCAGGCACTGTGCTATAAGTAATCTGCGTACGTTTTTGAGGAGATGTAAACTGGAGGAGAGAAAAGCCCCACACATGTGGAAAATTTAGACTTTGTCCTGAGTTAAACTGCTCTCTTCCAAGGTGGTGCTGGCCCAGACGGGAAGAAGGAACACAAGGCAGCGGAAGGAGGCGTCAAGGAGGAAGACAAGCTTGGCCGGGGCCCCCAGTCGGGGCAGAGGAAGCCATCGCAGGGCAGGAGGAAGAAGGTGAGTGCTTCTGGGGAGGTGGGGAGGCCCCAGGAGTGGGGAGAAGTGCTGATGAGCGGTGAGAAAGTCAAGCACACAGAGTCCCGGAACTGTGGCCCGCCTCAGCAACCTGCCGAATGAGGGGCGCTGGTAACTGAGGTGATGGGTCTCTACTTCCTTCTGGAGTGAAGACGTGTCTGAATGAAGAGTGGGAATTTTGGTAAAGCTGGACAGTGTCTGCGGGTACAAAACCCCTGGCTTTGGATGAGAATACTTAAGAAATCATTTCAAAAATTTGCCAGAATTGTCTAAGTATTTTGTGGAAAGCAAATAAAATAGCCGCAACCCCATGCCCTCCCATGAAGTCACTGAAACTTTACAGATCAAATGGCCTTAGAGCTCAGCCGGGCAACAGCAAATGCCTTATTTCCTCCATGTTTTGGAACCCAGCTGTTTGCTCTGTCCAGTGCCACTGTCGCTGTGAGATTTCTGTGGCCCGGGAGCTGGCAGGGTGAGCACCAACATGTTGCAGCAGGTTGGGGAGGGACACTGCCTTGAAGCAGGTGGAGGCTGGAGGTGACAGTCTTGTTCTTTTTCAGGTTGAAGCCAGAGAGCAGTAGTTCTCAGCAATAGATGCACACTAGAATCACCAGGGAACATCAGACAACATCAAACCAAAACAAAAAACCAACCCAAAACACCACCCTGCTGCCCTCCTCCACTCCCCACTTTTAAGGGCCCAGGTCATTCCTACTGTACTATCAGGGTTTCTCAAACTTTAATGTTACAGGAATCACCTGGGTCACCTGAAATCACCTGGGGCTGATTTAGCAGGTCTCTTGGGGAGGGGGGCGGGGGGAGGAGTGCCTGGTTCCAGCAGGTCCCAGATGACACTGCTGTCATCTGTAAACCACACTTTGAGAGGTGAGGACAATCAACAGGTAGGCCCTATTTACAGCAATGCAAAATTCATGCCTTATTGACATTTCTAGAGGACATCTTTCCTACAGCTACTAAGTTGAAATTTTCAGGTCTGGGAAGGAAAATGCAGGGTGACAGTAAATAG